TCTTATGATCCTCTGATCCCAATAAAATTTAGTATAGCAAATTCCCATGGCCCATTCTCCCCTAAGCTTTTGTCTCTGAAGGACAGTTATACATAATAAACTGTTCTATGATGTTTGCTACTATGGATACTGAGGTAAGCATAGGACTATAGTTGTTTAATAAATGTTTCTAAAATGAGGGACTCTGAGAATAAGTTCATTCATTCATTCATTCATCCCATAAATATTTACTGACTGCCTATTAAACACCAGACATTGTTTCCGTGTCCTGGAAATACAGCAGTAAACAAAACAGCAAAATCTTTCCCATCTTGAAGTTTATGTATTAGAAGAGAAGGAGACTCAATAAATAAATGTATTAAAGTGGGGCTCTGGCTCAGTTTCAGATTCAACCCTAAAAAACTGGGATACCAGGCTTCCCTCATTTTCCCATGAATCCCACGGTAAATTGGGGTTCCCTGCCCCATGGAAGTTATGAAAGAGAATGTTGGAGAAGCCGAGAGAATTGAATATTGTAGAAAGATTTCCAAGCCTGGTGAGAGTGGCTTCCAAGAGATGCCTTGTGAGCTCAGGGGACAAGCTTCCCCAAAATATGACTTGCCTGGGAAATTCAAAGGGCAAGAAGAGAGGTGAAGGTCCTTTGAGGGAACTAATTGCACACTGACCCATGGCAGATCAAAGGTGCCTGCTCTCCATGGGATGGTGTGCACACCCGTGTGTATGTGTGCATGCGTATGCATGTGCGTGTGTGTGTATGTGTGTGTGTGTGTGTGTGTGTGTGTGTGAGTCCCTTCAGCCACCAATTTCCAGTGAAAGATTCCACTGTGCGCTGTTATAGACAAGGCCTTCTGGGGGCTGGGGAACGGGTGCCTCAGTCCTCAGAGGGGATTTCAAATTTCTACCTCAGCTTCCTGCACATCGTGGCTTAAAAGAGTTTCTGACAGGGGGAAGTGCCTCCAGGACATGTCCACCCAGGTCGAGTTGGAGATGGGGGGAATCACTGTTAAGTAACTAGGAACATTTTGCCTGGTGAAAAACAGAATTAAGGGAAAGAGGATCCCCTTCACCACCACCCCTCACATTTGAAAAGCTATAGGTATAGTTTACTGACACTGAACATGAAACGATCTCATTTGAGTCACATGACTAATAGGAAAAGTGCCAGTCATGGCCTGTCTGCACAGATCGGTTTCCTCACTGCCTCCTATAGTTCTAAAAAGGCACAGGTGGCTCTTGTTTCTGAGTTCTGCTCCTGACCCTCCCCGTTCTTCCCCCCATTCCTCCCTGCTCTGCTGAGACCTAGGTCCCCCAACCTTCCTCTTGACTTCTTGGTTCTTCCATCATCTTTGGTAACCCACCCCCTCCATCACATTTCCTCTCAAAGTACCTAGAGTGGGAGCGCCTGGGTGGCTCAGTGGTTTAAAGCCTCTGCCTTCGGCTCAGGTCATGATCTCAGGGTCCTGGGATTGAGCCCCGCATTGGGCTCTCTGCTCAGCGGGGAGCCTGCTTCCCTTCCTCTCTCTTTCTCTGTCTGCCTCTCTGCCTACTTGTAATCTCTGTCAAATAAAAAAAAAAAAAATCTTAAAAAAAAAAAAAGTACCTAGAGTGGCTTGTGGTTTCTGGTTAGGTCCTGACTGATACAATCCTCCTAAGATAATTACACCTCTGAAGATCTTTAACAGAAAAATGAGAATTCTAAAATCCTAGATTGATAAAAGACCCACAAAATGATGTCGTCAAAGCCAATCCCATCACAATATGACTATAATCTAATTATGTTATCTTCTAATGACTATAACCCTCCAGCCTCTGTTAATTCCTGCTTTCTTGCTCTGGGTTGGGTACCACAGCTTGGGTATCCCTATGCAGTCAGCTTCAGTATCCTTATGCAGTCAGGCAGACTTCAGGTCTACCCAAGAAAGAACCGCCTAAAACCTCCAGAGGACACAGGTAGCTGCCCCGCCCATCTGTGACTGGGAAGAGACAGCCGGCACATTGTGGAAATGGCTTCTATCTACCACTGGTCGCCGGAACATGTTTGGTGACTCCTAAAAGCTCCTCCCACTCTTGCCCCAGTGGTTCCAATGAGGGCCATGAGTAAGTGGCCACGCCACCATGCTTACTTTCTTTTTTTCACTTGATTCTTTTTTTCACTTTGATTCTTTTTTTCACTTTCAGCATATGACTGCTAACTGCCCCCATTTGTCCATCCTCTAGGATGCAGTCATCTCCAGCCTTATGACAAATCTCCGCTAAGTCACAGGCAATGGGGAGCATGCCCATAGCACTCTGATGTTCTAGGTGCTGGGGAGGCCAATGCCATCAAAATAAGTAGACATCCTTGTCCCAAACCACAGTGGAGACACTGGGGTTTACATTCAGAACTATCCCAGGAACGAAGCCACAGGAATACCCTCCAAGCCACAACTGGGAAATTCTCCCTCCACATGCTGGGCCCTCTATGGAGACACTTAGAGGAAAAAATAATCCCACAAAAGAAAAATAAATCCAACAGACGAAAGGCAGGGCAGAGGGTCATGGAGTAACTTTTACACGTCTGCATTACACTTCCAATATGGGGTATGGGGAGTGATTCCCAATGTCATTTCATGGTCCTGGTAATGGCAATGCACACAGACACCTTTGGCTCCAGAGGCAGTCCGAATTCACTTGTGGTTTCAGGCAGACTGTCTTCGAGCAGGTGGTGTGGAGGTTGCTGACGGTTCTTTCAATCTGACAATGTACTTTCTTACCAATTCATGAGAAATGTGTGTGAACATGAACTTGAAGTTACGAGTATGTGTGAGCCCACATCTTCCAGAAAAGCCACATGGCAGTCACTCTTCCAGACCCATCACTCCTGTGTCCATGCCCCGTCGCCTTTGATGTCCCAGACTGTGCACGGCCAGAAGTCCCCAGCATGGGATATCTCAAAACACAGATTTACCAATGCCTGGACTGCAAGTTCTACATGTTCAAAAAAAAAAAAAAAAGTGTGGGACACCCTGTCCTAGAGACCACCTGCATTTCCATAAACAAACAAATAAATAAACGAGGTTCTGTTGAATATCAGTCACACTGCTTGGCACTTAAATGCAGGAAAGAGGAAAGTAATGGCAATACTGCTTCCATAATCCTAACTGGAAAGTTGCCTGTGGATTTCCCTTTTGAGCCCTGGGCTTCCCTCTCCAGCACCAGGAGCAGCACCAGCAGACGCGTGTGGGGGGGTCATTGTGCTTTGTTTGTGCATTGACCTAGTCACATTTTGTTAACTCAGGATATTGCTTTACACAGAGAAGAGCTGCTGTTTGCTTTTGATTTTATGTTTCACTCTGAGCTTCCTGACATCAGTCCCCAGTGCACCCAGCTATAAACAATGGGCCGACTATCCCATACTTCAGATATAGTCTTACACCAACTCCTATAGGGACGGAAGCACCCCGACGGAAAGCAGGGCTGGTGAGCCGGGAAGAAGGTAAAGCCGGGTACCATCCCCTAAGTCTGAAGGGGGAAAGTCCCATTATCTGATTTCCAGATAAAATAATAAGGAGACACCTTGATATAAAGCAAGAGATAATTCAATTGAATCTCCTTTTTAAAGCACTTTCTCCTGAATGTGTATGATACCTTCTTTTTTTTGAAACATGAGCTCCAAGCCATGAAATACAGCTTGACTGTATGTTAATCATCTTGGCTCTGAAGCCCAAAACTAGTCTGTCTCAATGTCTTTGCTAATGTCGAACTGTCCGAATGAGGCTAGACTGCGTGTGGTCCCATGAACAGGGATGTTGGGGTCTGACGGGGATTTGTATACACTCACTTTTCTCCAGCTCCTCTTTACTTTTTGCATTAAGGATTTAAGTGACTTGGAAGAGCTGTCACTCAGGTTCTTCCTCAGGCAGGAAAGTCGTCATCCTAACTATTCATATATGGAAACATAATATGTGTTATAAATGCAATAGTTAAGAGGAAGGTGGGAAAGACAGGGCCGTTCTTTGTTGTTCTGGGTACGCCAAGTCTTCACTTCTTTTCCTAAAGAGTCACCACCATGAGTTGAGGACAACCAGTGGCCTTTCCCATGCCACGCGGTTGGTGGGGTTAAACACAACTTCCTTTTTTTTTTTTTTTTCCCCAGATTAGTATATATACAGTGAGCCATCACAGACTCCTAAGACACGGGGCACAGTCCTTGTTTCTCACGGTATTGTTTGGAAAACTAAACTACTAAATTGATCAGGTATGGTTTAGTGTTTATACTTGTGGAAGGACTTCACATATATAAATTCACAAGCCAGACCATGCTTCCTAATGAGAGCCTTAGAAGAAACAGTCACATTCTTTTCTGTGCCTGCAGTTTCTTGCAGAGCAATGGGAGATGGATCTAAAATTTTGCAGTGACATGCTTGAGAAACTATCCCTTGGACTCGGGTTACTCTCTTTTAGTACTCATTGGAGGCATATGTAAGAGATCTCAGCTGATGTATATACAAGTCATGATGGGATGTGGTCTTACCCAGCTCTTCTGCTTCGTGGCTTGGAAATGTAAGACGATGGATGCTCTGTCTCCTTTCCATCTCCTGCCACATTCTCCTCAGCAACCCAGTATGCAAAGCGTGTGCCAAAGTTGCTCTACCCTCTGCCTTATTTTATTGAAAATGCATTGAGCTCATTTTAACTAGCCCAAATGTTCCAGATACATCACAGTTCTGCCAGTAAGGACCTACTCGGGAACTCATATGGGAGGACAGCTGTGTAAGGGACAAAAACATGTCACCAGCAAGCTCCACCTACTCAACTTGTAGCCACCCAAATGCGTCCTGCCCGCCCCTGGCTGGACCAGCGTGATACACAGACCGCATCTCTCCCATCAGATAAAGACGGACCGAGCAGCCCAGCAAAATGCAGTCAGAGCACGGTAGGGATCATCACATTACCATTATGCGGTCATCCATTACAGGGCACCATCCCATTGTGGGGATCACTGAATTTCCATCTCTTACCTTGCATCGTCGCTTTTGTTGGTTCTGAGAACAAAGGGATGAGCAAGAGGTAGATGAGGTAGACAAAGGAGAGCCCATTGTACCGGAACGCGCACGCTGCAGTTGGGAAGAGAGAAGAGAGGGAGAATGTCATTAATAATGGCAGGCTGCTGGGCCCAGGGTGCACAGACCTGTGTGGGTTCCTGCATCAGGGACTGCTGGATCCAATGGCAACCCAAGTGGGTATGTCAATTAGGAAGTAAAAACTGAGCATTTATTCTGTGTTTATCACTATGTTGAACATCATGAGGAATGCAGAATTAGAATGCATGGCCCCTGCTCTTAAAATCTAGCCAAGAAGGCAACACCCATAAACTACCTGAATGAAGGTAGTCCCGAAACAAGTCATCAATTAGAGAAAGCTGGAGAAGTTAAAATGGCTACAGAAATATAGAGGGCAACAGGACTGGTGAGGGTTTGGGATGTTCAGTTAAGGTTGGCCACAGAAGAGCGGAGACAGAACAGAAAGAAAATAGAAGAATATTTGTTCAGTGCTCCATGGCAGGGCTTTTCACAATTTATCTCATTTAATCCTCATTTTCTAAGTTAGAAATGCTCAGGTTCAGAAAGACTCATAATCATTCACCTGAATCTCCCAACTAGGATTTGACCAAGTTAAAATTAACCTTGGCCCTGCCAGGCTCCCGACCCCACACTCCTTCTTCTGCATCGCTTGTCCCAGAGCTAGAACTCTAGAGATTTGCTCCAAGGGGGTGCCTTCCCTCTCCAGATTCCCGTTTCCCCGTCTGTGAAGCGGACCTGATAACTGTTTCTAACTCATAGACTCATTCTGAGGAATAAATGGAATGATATATAATAATACTGTGGCTCAGCATCTTATGCACAGGAAACCCTCAAAAACACCAGCCTTTACCATAAACATTCTCATTATTATCCAGGGAGAAGAAAGCGTGCAGTGTTCCATGCAGAAAGAAAATGAGCACATTATAGCAATAAAAAATAAATTTATTGGATGACTAAAGAAAAACAAAAGATGAGAAGGACTAAGAATGAGTCTGCAGGATGAGGAAATTGGTTCAGTGATGATGCAGGTGGAAAACGTTGGAAGGAACATTGGTAGGAGAGAAAATGGAGGGCAAGAGACATGGTACCCAGACAGGGAGACCAGATCAAGAAGTTGCTAGCTCGAGAGGGGATTCGAACACTAGGAGCATGGCATAAGCCAGCCCCCAGCCCTTGCTTCTGGTGGCTTACTCCCGAAGCCAGCAGAGACACAGTAGAGGAAAGTGAGGACTAGTGTAGTAGGGAAGGAGGGAAGCCACAAATGGTGCTTTTTCATTCCAAAGGAATCATGCACATATTTGTAGCTTTTAAACAATCATGGGTATTCCTAACCTCCTTCATGAAAGATCCAAGGCGGGAAGAAACTTTCACACTATTCATAGGGCTGATAGGAATATATATAAATGAGACAATGTACAAAAATGAAAACATATGTTTGAATTGTCTTTGTAGATTTTTTTTCCTTCGGCTTCTTATTTCTCACCCATAGTGGAAGCTCCTTAAAAAACAATTCAAATATATCTGGGGATTCATTTAGTCGACAAATATTTATTGAGCATGTCCTACATGCTGGGACCCACAGAGGTTCTTTTCTACCTCTGGGAACTTACATTTTGGGGGGAAATGTGTGGTAAACAGCAAACATGATAAAAAGTCAATCACAAGGAACCCTGGAAAACAAGCACTACGTGAACAGGAAGCCAGCAGGGAAAGGGGGAGCAGGGGGCCCTGGGGGGAGGAGGACTGGTTGCAGCATTCAGGAGAAGCACTGAAGGTGGACTATTGTTGGGAGAAAGTGAGATGTGGGCCAACGGGTGAGATGGGTGAGCCTGTGGACAGAGCCTCCGTGGGTGCCAGAGGGGTCTTGTTGCTGAAGAAGGCCTCACCTATGTGACCTGCCCCAGAGAGCCCCACAGGGAGCCCAAGGTGCCAGGAGAGTCCCAGATGAGGACAGATCATGTGGACTTACAAGAGATCCGAAGGCCATGGCGGTCACTATGAGGTGTCAACTGAGTGCCGGCTGTTCAAGTTTGCAAGCCCAGTTCCTGCCCCCACCTGCAGCTCCACGCCCCACCAATGCACCAATGCATACCCCACGTTCTGCGCTGCTGCCCAACTGAACTGCCAGCACCTTCCCCATGTTTTGCTGCTTCCTGCCTCTAGGTCGTGCCAGCACTCCTCCCTCCGACTGCAACACCTTCCCATTCTTCCTCCACCAGGCATATCGCTACAGGGCTCCCAAGTTTCCTTTTCTGGGTCACGGTCCATGTCCACAACCTCCCCAAACAGATGCATTTCACTCCCTGGTGCCTTTTCCAGAACACTTGTCATTCAGTGTCACAGGTTTTGGTTAGATGCCCGTGAGCATCTCTGCTAGCGCCACGGCCCAGGGCAGGAGGTACTTGTGCCCAGGTAAGGAAGGAAGAGTGAATAAATGAATGAAATGGAATGAGAAAGGCATGAGGGCATGTGGGAAGGAAATCAGGGCATGGTCACATAAAAACGTCACAGCTGACATTTCAACAACAATAAACAAAATAAACACCTAATCAAGTGGAATGTTTCTTTCTTTTTAGTCTTAGGCTGTTTCTGCAACATTGAAATTAGTATTGCGCAGCAAATTTCTGGGTATTTCTGAGTATTTCTCGGTAAAAACTAAAACAGAACTCACTTGTATGATCATAGCACTTTAAGGAGCATTGTCAGGGACCCATCTGCTGGTAATTTATCTCATTAATAGCTTACAGCAACGTGCTTGTTCTGTGTCAAGCCCCGATGGGTACACTTCATGTACGTTAACTCATACTATTACTATCCTCCTTTTACACAGACCATTATTACTCCCTTTTGACACATGAAAAAGCAGAAAGCACAACTAAGGAACCAGGCGGTGGTCTGTACCTGGGATTCTAGTGCCCGACACTGCACCATCACTAGGAAGCATCATGGCCCCAGCATGAAAACATATCCTCACCTGTCCGTCCTGTCCCTAGTTAACCCTCAGGGGTTCAGTGAGCCGGAGCCCGGCCTCCACAGGATGGCAAAAGCTCTTGTATGGATCTTGCTGTTTCTGTTTTATAACCTCATTCTGTAAGGTTTCACATTATGCATGGTGGAAATGTATTTACGGAGGAAATTCTCCAAGATTAACTTTGGGGGCAGGGAGGAAAGGAGCCTGCTCTTGGTTTCCCACATCACAGCCTGCAGTTATCATTATTTATAGCAAAGTCTGAAGAGCCTCAGGAGAGAACAGGGACAACCCAGGGTGACAGGCAGCCTCCAAATGGTCTCCAGTAATCGCCATCTCCTGGTTGTCACACCAGGATGTCCTCCCCTGCTCTTGAATATGGTCTGGAACTAATGACTCATTTCCGGCGAATAGAAACTGTAGAAGTATCGCGATACTGCGTGGCAGCTTCTAAACTGAGTGTTCCTCTGCCTCTCCCCTTGTTCGCTGTCAAGGAAGCCAGCTGCACTGTTATGAGTTGTCCCAGGGAGAGGTATATGGCAGGGGACTGTAGTCGCTAGCCAGTAGCTAGCCCTCACCAGCGAACAGCCACAAGAGTTCACTTGGAAGCAGCTCCACAGTCAGGAGCCTCACCACCCCTTTGGCGGCAGCCCTGTGGGATAGCCTGTGCCAGAGGTGGCCTGCCACCAGCCCCCCAAGCCACACCTGGCTTCCTAACTCCCAGAAACTCAGTGTGTTGCTTTAAGCAGCTAAACAGTTCGGTAATTTATACGCAGCAATAGACATCCAAACTTCAAAACAAAACAAAACAAAAATAAGCCACTTGTAAAAACCCAACTTCATTTATTTTTGCCTGAAATTATCCCATTTGACTGATGACAGTAGCCCAACTGCTGAATTCCCTACTTTACTTTTTATGTATAAAATTGCTACCCAAGAGCTCCCCCAAGCTGATGGGGACTTCAAATGACATTTCTAGGGGAGTTATCCCCATCAAGGGCAAAAATATGCCTTTGAACTTGTCGATAAAACATATTTGAGCTAGAAAAGCCTTAGAAGGCAAATAGCAATGGTTCCTTTATCAAGCATGATGCTGTCTTTGTTCAGGAGCATTTATTACTCTTCCTGAGGAGCTCCCTTACTCTACTGCATAGCGTTCCCAGATACCCAACACCTCTCACTCTCAGGTCACCTGGACCTCTGCCCTCTGCCTCAAAATTTTGACTATTGACAGTACAGTTTTTTGAAATGCACACCAAGTTGTTCAAAGGAGAAAGATTCTCTGTTCTGGTAAATAACACACTGTCGTTTCCACGATTCCTACCTGGTTTTAACCCCCCGGAATCATGTGGAAACCTCTCCAAAGGGATGACAACAGTTGACAAGAATTTCCCAAACAAAAGAACTTGCCAAGCCTAGAGAGTTCACAATTACAAAATGAATCAACAAGTTATCAAGTGGAGTGCTTTATAAACATTAATATCATCATCTGAAATGTAAACAATTGACCTCGCCTCATTAACAAACTTCATTTTCTAAAGATAAAAGCTGGCAAAAACTCTCCAAGAAGGAAATGATTTGACTTTGACAACTTAGTTTACCAAAATAGAAAGCGGAAATCTCTTGCAAGTATGAAATTGTTTAGATGGTCATGTAACATTTATAAAAATACTTGATTGTAGTTTGTGTACAGATCTCTGACTTACAGTGGGGTTACACCCCAGTAAAACCAAAGTACGCTGAAAATAACCCAAGTCGAAAATGCATTGAATACACCTAACCTACTGAATGAGTATCATAGCTCAGCCTAACCTGCCTTAAATGTATGCAGGGTGCTACAGTTGAGCAAATCATCTGACACAAAGCGGATTGTATAACCATGTGTGGACTCATTCATGTAACTGACTGACTTCCATACTGAAAGTGACAAACACAATGGCTGTATGGATACAGAATGGTAAGAATGTAACCCTCCCGCTTGCTCACTCAGGAGGGCTGGGAGCAGCCGCTGCTGCCCAGCATCATGGGAGAACACTGCACTGCAGGTTGTGAGCCCAGGAAGAGA